GTTATTTTATTCAATTTCGAATACAACGACTCTTCATACTAATAGTTATACTGATATAATCAGCGACGAACGAGTGGAGTCGATTAAAAATTCTGTTAGAATATGATTCACCTCTATTTATTTTTACTAAGCAGATCATATTGTATAACATTTCAAATGGCTGTTGAAAAATTATCTGAAACATAAATGAAGAATGAAGAACACAACTCGATGAGATTTCTTCTCATTTCTTGACGAGAAGGAATGGCCTAATTTATGAATCATAATGTGAAATGACAATGAAGACTCTGGGTAGTAAGATCGTCTTTTTTTGGCACAGTCGGAATGCAATGATTTTTATAATTCAAATAATTTTCATTTAAAAATACCGAAATGAAACATTTACTGACCCTTATACATTTGATTTTGATTTAAAAGTGTCATTTTTAACAGAAAACACGGAAATTAAATTCGGATAGAATATTCATTTGAGCGATTTCTTCCAGTTTTATTTCTATTTTCTCAACAAGATCTACTTTCTTTAATCAAATCTCTTTGAATATTTAGGTTTACTGAAAAAATCTATGAGTTTTGGTTTTCATAGTTATAGATTAAGAACCTACCTTATGATGAATGGGATAAGCTAAATTCGAAACGCTTCGTATGATGCTTTGATTCTTTGTAATCGAAGTACCCCCCCCCCCCCCCCTTTCAACACACGCACCCACACCTGATTTTTTCATTCGTGATGCGTAATTGCATCGTTTACGTAAAAACGGATTCGTTTACTGAAGTATTTAAATTTATTTCTGACATACAACATCAATGAATAAATGGTTAAAGTTAAACTAAGTGGTTTCTGCTCTTTTAGAGGTGATTATTAAAAATGCATACAGTGTTTGAGGTCACTATGATTATCTTTGTGCTGTTGTCGCTGGTGCTGCTCGCTGATTTGTTAAATGAAAGAGAATTCTAGAAAAACCTTTCGGAATTTCCGGCAGTGATAATAGATATATAAAAGGTAAGCAAAGATGATTGAAATAGCAATTATATCCGAGATAGTCAAGACCCTTTTGAATCCAATCGGAGTTGATGAAAACGGCACTCAAGGTAAAAGTGCATAAAGGAAAAATGGTAACAACGAAGAGAGCAGAAATGCAAAAAACTTGAATAATCATTCTACGTTGCTTTTTCCAATTAGGTGATAGTCGAAGTTGCCTTCTCGAGTAAACAACACGAATGAAAAGACCCACATTAAATACTATAGTACATGCCGACGGAAATAAAACATGAACAATAGTATCCCACCAGCTAACACCAAGAACATAGAGATAACACGGAGTACCACACAAATCAATGTCAAACGAAAAAACATCTTCGCAAGGACAAAAATATAAAGCATATCCATAGAAACATGTAATGTAACTGATAAAAATAAAAGGTGGTGCAAAATGTAAGCTTATTTTCTTCCATTTCAACAACAAGAGATTATTATGAAAAATAAAAATATGTCGCTCCAATGAAATCCATGTCACTAAAGCAATACTCATAGACCAGAATGCAAAACCAATAAATCGCCAAATTTGACAGAAGATAATGGATTTAAACGGAACGCTCTTCGTATTAAAAAGAATCAATTTTGATGGGATGTCCACAGCGATAATAATAAAATCGACAAGCATAAGAATAAATAAAGTATAATTATGTTGAGATGAACGAATAGACTTATTAGCCAAAAACGAAATTATTATCAATAGATAGCATAGAAAAGACGGAACTTCGAAAGAGAGCATAATGAAAAACTTCGCGGTGTAGAGTATTGTATTTGAATCAATATTGCCCTCAGTGTCGTTAGTATCATTCATCTTGCTTTGTCCACACGTTTGAAATTGTTGAATGCTTCTTCATTATAATCTAGTACATTGCAACTGCTGCCTGCTACTACGCAAACTAGTTATTATGATGCTCCACTTACATTTATATAGAGCTACTTCTAAGAAAAATTGCAAAAGAATTATTCTTTAGAAACAAGCTTCACGCATCCATAAAATATGATTAACGTCATCTGTCATCGCCAATTAGATTACTGACAACGATAAATTCTTTGCTCGATGTCTAACCAATCTTAAGTATGAAAACGGATTGGTAAGCAAACACATCCTGTTGATACCATAGTGATTTTTTATAGAAATAAAGAAAACGTGTAAAAAAGCTATTACTATAGGGTATGTAAAAATGTTTTTCCAGGTGGTAACTCTATGCTAACAAATAGTAAGCATCAGGAATTTTATATCAAATGAAAGCGCTGAAAAAAATTTGATATTCTGATGCTAAATTGTAAGGGTTTGGAAAATATTTTTTATAACGAATATAATTTATCTTTAGAATTTCGAGCTATTTCACTATGAATAGTTTATTGTTTGAAGCAATTCGAAGTGAATACGATTGAAAGAGATCGACAGCATCAAAATGATTTATTTTTCAAATCTGATTAATAAAATTAATAATCAGTGTGACGTCCAGCGGCATTCTTCACTATCTGAAGAGGGGATGGATACGAACATAAAAGAGTTTCAAATAGTTCCAGATTTGACTCCATGTTCGCCAGAATATCTATGAAATGCTCTTTTAATATCTGTTGCCTATAACGATTCTCAACGGTTTTCGATAATATTTTTCGCTCAAGTTCATCTTTAATTATTGTTCCGATATGTTCAGCGACATTCAGGTCCAGTGAATCGCCAGGCCATGTGTCATTACCCCAAAAAAGTGATATTATTCTCTTTAAGCAACTATTGAATCATATTTGCATGCATGCATGACGCTGTGTCATAGACAAATATCACGTGATCAGGATCAATTACATTTTCGTCGTCCTTGAGAAATGGAAACACGTGCTGCATCAAAATAACGTCATGGAAATATTGACCAGTCCAAGATTCACTCTTCACTTTCATTACCCAATGCAGCTTTTTGCCATGAAAATGATAAAAATGCCGATACATGCTTGGCTTTTTACCATTTCGCGATACCTTTCAGCATCTTCTATATCTTCAATACTTCTTGCGTAAACTCTATCATTTTGATAATTTGGCCTGCGAATAATCTAAACATAAAATTCATCTGATAGTGCGAGATGAAGAAAATCTTCTTGAGTCTCGTCTCTTACCCAATCACAAAACCACAATCGGTTCGAAATATGAGTTTCTGTTTTTAAGGTTTTTGGAATAACTTGAAGTGGTTTCAATCTATTCCTATGACGATAATTATCGACTGCTTCTGTTGAAACATACTCATTGTATTGTACTGCAATCTCTTTGATCAAAACATAAGAACTGCTTTTTTGCTTGCCAGCTACACTGACAATAGGATTTTGAGTAGCATCTGATAATTTCACTTTTCCACCACACTCGGAATAATTAGCGAAGTAATCACCGTACGATCTCTTCCATCAATCTGTAACACGTCGCGTACTACGATGATTTGTTTCTGAAATCCACTGCTGATTAATGAATGTTGCGTCCCCATCTCGAGCTTTACGAAAAGTGATAGATTTGGTTCTGTCGAAGGTTGTTTGATGTTCTGAATCGTAAGTACCAGCCATTTGCAGCCAATTAAGTTAACTTCAGTAATCAAAAGAATCGATTGCTTTTGTCTATCCACCTTATATACTACGAAATGACATTTCGCTGTTGCAGAGGGTCATGAAGTTTTTTTCCTTAGACATATAGAAAAGAAAAATACTATTTGATGAGTGAACCGAAACGTGCTTGCAAAACGAAAAGACATTCAATAGAGAATAGATAACGGGTGGTGCTACACAGTTTCTCTCATTTTGCTGGCATATCATCATTCATATTTAGAAGTAGAAGAAAATAAATGTGGAAATCTAGGATTTAAATCCAAGTGTTATGTGCACTTCGAAAAGTAAAAAATAATTGACGACAGATTGATTTTGATAAAAGTGTGTAAAAAAATCATCCTTGAAAGGAGCAAAGAATAGGGATCGACCGACTCAGGTTCACGAACTACACTCAAATGAACCAGAGAACTGCTCGAACAGTTCTTCTGAACGAATTGAACTTTTTCAAACAGTTCTTTTCAAAGGAACTGAACTTAAAGTTAGACTAAATATTATAATATGGGTGCATCCATAGGTCATCAGGGCCTATTATATAGAGATACCCATAGGATAGTCCTTAAGGATCTATAGGAACCCTTATGTAATAGCACTTGAGGAGTCATAAATATCCAGCCTGGGATGTTCCCAAGGAATCCTGAAGATGGCATGTGCAACTTTTCATGATGATCAGCTCATAGAGGTGAACTATTTCGAATGACTCCGTTCGTTGAAAGGAACTGTTCAAATAGTTCAGTTTGTGGTAGTGAGCGTTTTGAACAGTTCATCAGTTCTGGTATAAAGCTGAACTTGTTCACCTCTAGTAAGAAACTGCCACTTGTGCCCTGTTGATGTCCTCCTTTTGCCCCGTGGGAAGCGGCGAGGAGCTAGTTCTTTTTGTTCTGAAGCCTTTATTTATTTACGTAAATGAAAACTATTTATATGCATAAATGAAAACTTTATTTATATTCATAAATGAAAAACTTTATTTATATGTATAAATGAAAACTTGTTTATTTTAATTAATTATTTTGATGAGTTTATGGGACCTTCCTTTATTTTATACACTCATAATAATTATGTCATGTTTGGGTATAAATTGTTGAGGATTATTTCGAAAGGGAAAGAGAGCATCATAATGATTGCCGGTGAAATGAATACATAAATTCAGTTGGTTCATATCTGATTTGTATCCAATATATTTAAGATGACCACCTGCGATTCCTTTATCGAATTGATCGATCAACTTTTGTATACTGATATCGGATGGAATATAGTGTCCATTTTTTGGATCACTTTTGCATTTGACATATGGATAAATAGGCTGACATAAAGCTATAAAAAGGGCTTGAATTTGAACTTCTCCACCCCCTTTTTCATCCGTGGCAGTTCGTTTCATCGGTTATTCAAATGAATAGTTCAATGTCTTACACATTCTTGTGAAATGATCACTATTATTAATCATTGCATTGACTGCTAATAGCCTCATTGACTGTCTTAGTTTTTCAGATCCAATATTAATTATTGAAAGAGAATTATACAAACAATTGCCATCTTCGATCGTGCAGGTTCTTGCATAGACTGATTCAAATGCTTGAACAGTATATTCTGTTTTAGGTCCCAGTTTAACAGATGGATCTTTATTATGTACGGTTATATATAGTGATCTTTCAAGTGAATGATTAATTATTTGAGCTTGACTTAAAATTTGATCTATGACCACAGTATTATTATTAATACCATGTACAGAAAGAAAGTGATCCAGAATCTTTCTTGAGTTTAAATCAATGATTTCATAACTTTCGAAAGATGATTCCTCATCAGCTTCCATTATATCACATTGATCATTAGTTTTAAGATCTTTAAGATTAAACGACATATCTGTATGCAATTGTTCGTTTCTATCAATCATTTCATAACTTTCGAAAGAAAATTCTTCGTCAATTTCCATCGTGTCAGATTGATCAGGGTGTGGGTGTGAGTGTGTGTCAGTCTATAGGCCTTGTTTTCACCCGCAGCCATGTCCACACCGACCCACACCCACACCACACCCTGCAACGAATTGTCCTAGCAACACTCAAAATAATTATAATTAAATCTAAGTATATTTGAAGCATTTTAAGCTCCATTTTTATTTATTTCAGTTTCACTTTGTAAAGTTGTCTATAGAAATCAAGAGAAATGTTTTGTCTCTTAGGTTTACTAGAAAAGATATCTGTAGAAGTTTTTATTATCATTAGAAAATAACAGAAGTAGAGTGCGGCCGTGTTCTTACGGAATCCTCTATAGTGATGATCGGATGTCATCGTATGGTAGCAGTTTCTCCTTATTTCTGATCTATATTTCTTGAAGTCATGTGCTTCGACGATCGGATTGTTAAATTTTAATTCACAACATTTTACTATATACAGAAATTAGTTCTCAAAAATTTAAATCTAAGATAGAGTGTGGATGTGGTCTTCTCTTCATACACACTCACATCCTAAAATTATGATCTTATAAGATCATGTAAGATCTTACAAGATTCCAATCATCAGATTTTTGCAAGAATCTTACAGTAAGATTTTTGTGCGATTTCGTCAGATCATACAATATGAATCTTACAACATCCGATGTCTGTAAGATCTTGTAAGATCTTATACCATCTGTGTATGATTTTTTCACCTGGGAACGTGAGCCTGAGAAGAGTGACTGTTAGTGGGGTAAGTTCTGTCCATTGGGATTAAGTTCGCGTTATAAGAAGGACTTTCGGGGTAGTCCCTTAAAGCCCGACCAGGAACTGCGTTGGTTTTCATGGCACATGACCGAGCTTCCAGATTCACTGACACATGTCATCGGATGGGTGCATGTGGATGACGTGAGTCTTCCTGCGCGTGTATGAGCATTACGCTTGCCACGACTCCAACAGCGTGGTTACTGGTCGCGCACGTGCGTACGAGAATAGAATAGATTTCAGTTCATTTTTCATTCAATCACGACTTATTTGAAAGAGAAAAAGAGAACGAAACACAAAAATTAATCATCGTATTGAGTTTATTGGATATTAAATTTTTGTACTCGATGATTTACGTAGTCGACGACATAGAGATTACCATGTCGATCGAATGATAGACTTGTGGGATAACAGAGTTCATTCGACCATGCTCCTTTACCGTTTCCACCAACAATGACACTTCCTTGTGTGGCCTCTTTTGGCCAACGCATGATTCGATCATTCACAGAATCAACCACATAAACAGTACCCAATTGATCGACAACGACTCCAATAGAACGGTCCAATTGTGTAAGACTATTTCCTTTTCCTTGACCACCGGCTACGATAATGCCTTGTGTTGCACCTTCTTCCCATTTCATGACACGATGATTGGAACAATCACACACATAAAGTGAATGATCTCGATTGACAAATACGTAGTGGGGTTGAAAGAGCTGATCGAGACGATTTCCTTTTCCATTGCCACCTGCAACTACTGTTCCTTTAGTGTCACCGATTTTATATCGCCTCACTTCATTTTTCTCATGGTCAACGACATAGAGAAAACCATTGTCGTCCATTGTCAAACCCCAACAAACGATATTTGAAATAATTGTTTCTCCACGAGTACCATTTCGACGAGGCCATCGAACTACTCTTTTATTTTCGCTATCGCTGATGATGAGACTATCGGTCTCTTTGTCGATAATCACATCTCGTGGAATACTTAATTGATGAGCTCCATTTCCTCTTCCATTTCCACCAGCAACCACTGTGCCATTCGTTGCACCCGATTTCCATTCCATAATACGATGATTCCAAGTATCAACAACATAAATCGTTTGATCATCATCGATGTACAAAGTCCATGGATCCGATAGTTGATTCGTTGCACTGCCGTGTTTATTTCCTCCAGCAACAGTGATACCATTCTTTGACCATGTTGCATTCGGATGAATATCAACCATACGTGCACGTAATGGTACTAAAATGAAACAAAAGTATGGAGTAGACATAAATATGGATTTCATTGAAAATGAGTTCTTCATTTTGCTAAGAAATTCATGAGGTATTTGTACTTTTAACCGGTATGATCAGAAGAAATATCTATTTTTTTAAAGCATATTCATTGAAATTAACAGCTAAAAGGGAGATTTTTTGTCTTAGAATCATTTAGTTAGTTTTCTAGTTTATTGTAAGTAACGTTAACGTAGAATCATGTAATTGTTCTACTTTTACACTAAAATATATATAAGAAATAGATAATTAAAAATGAGAAAAAAATTGAGTGCTAAAATTTTTTTAGAACTTCTGTGTTTTTTTTTATTCAGAGACAAGACTTGTTTCAATCCAAAATATTACACGAATCGCTTTTAAACACATCTTTTAAGTTTTTATTTTCTACTACATGAAAACACTGCATCATCAATCGAAAGTTTCAATTCTAACAAATTTAATTTAAATATCCCTATAACATGTAATGACTTCGATAACTAGTGATGTTGAGTTTTTGTATAAAAAAAAACAGAAGAATTTCTGACATTAATTTCGTAGTACCTGTTTCATAGTTTGATTCATGTTTGAAGAAAAATAAAATCATAGAGATTTATAAACTACATAAAATAATACTAATTTCGTGAAAATTTAACTTTTTCAATAGACAATTTTTAATCAACCTGCAGAAAACTTCCCACACAACAGTATTATCAGTTGCACGAACGAAAGTGATTTCGGAAGATTTAAACTACCAATCAAGAAAATTTTGATTCATCTATACGTGAAAACAAAATTTAGTTTTATTTCTTTTGTCCTATTGACGAAAAAATATCATTTATTGATACTCATAAAAGTGAATGAAAACGATCAATTTAAATTAATACAAATTTATTTTTCAATTTGCGTCTGCAAAAAATGTATCTAAAGACACTCTTTAGGAAAAATAAAATTTGGAAGATTTGACAAATAAAAAACAGTCTTATTCTAGAATGATCAGACCTCATACTCTCTTTCTATACTCAACTTTTCATGTTTTTCACAAAAACCAACTGTATTTTTAAAGAGAAGAGTTTACGTTAGTGGAGGATGTTTCGATTTTCTGCCATATAAAACGAAAATGATAAATATGAATGTATTTTTTTGGATACATTAGTTGCTTGACGTGCTTTCAAGTGTGTATTTACTATTGCAGAACTAGTTAGTACAACACGTTTAGAGGACCAGGAAAGCAAATGTACCAAAAGGATTTCTTCTTCATCATCATCTGCTTCTTCGTTTACTTCAAATTCTTCTGAAGAAATTGACCAGTATGATGATCCATTATCGATAACCTCTCTCTCAACATAGAATGCCATCCTATAATTGTATGGCATAACGGAAGGCCATGGAATTCGTAAAACTTTTTTCGAGAAACTCAAGATAATTTTGAGGCTTTAGCATCTCAAAGACTAGTTTCTCAATAAAAAACTGAGGTATCATTGTTAAAACTCTTTTTTATTTTATATGAAACTACTGTTATGATACTTGGATGCTAAAATTATTCGTTTGAATGCCAGAAAACTTTTCTTAAAAAACTTGGTTTTATATAGAAATTCCAGCAAAAAATTAGCCCATATGAGAAAGCCACCTTTGGAAGGACGATGTGAATTTTCAAAATAGAAGGTCACGCCTTTTTAAACTGACGACAGGTGTACAATCAACATTTGTTGTACGTGTTACTGGAGAAATCCCATGTCGTGCTCGTTTTTGTATATGATTCAGTTAGATATTATTTAAGAAGAGGATTTTGACGTTTATACAGTTCTGAAATAAATTAATTACAAGATGATCGAAACACTTGATATTTGATGTACTTAATTAAGCATTAAAGATGTCATGTTTGTCCTGCTTATTATTCTGTTCTACCTATCTTGCCCTGTCCTGTTCTCGTCTCTGTTTCGGATGCATTCGACATCTTCTGCATTATACAATTTTACAATTCGTCTAAATATAAAGTTAGTAGAATTATTTTTATCATTATATCTTCACATATCATCTAACGTTTGTTTTTATCCCCATCTCATATTAGCATTGAACAATATTTTTTCTATCGATCTATGGTATATCTCGAGTGTATCTTCATCAAAACAAAAGCGTGTCGAAAAACTGTTCTTATTAAAATGTTCAAAATTGAAAGCTCTACAAACGCTGAATATTCCATCAAAATTGGAAATCTTCTTCTGTATAATGTGGTTCAGATACTGAGGAAATAACCAGCTACAATGCTAAAAACGTTCGTTCTATTCAGAAACAAGTCATGGGCCTAAACTGATTTTAGGATAGACGGAGATCACTAAGCTCTACAAGATGTACTAAATCTCAGATGAAAAGCGCTTCGACACTTGGCTATGCTTCCTCATAAGACTTGTTACTAACGCAAGAGATCTTCACAAAACTATGTAGTATTTTAAACAGCATTTAACTATAGAATTAGAATAGTTCTTACAATAGCCTTTATTCCAGGATGTTTTCCGTAGTTTAGTGTGAATCTCATTTTTCATTTTGGTAAACAACGCAAGAATAAATATGAGGCACTTAACTAAAAGTAAGAACGAAGGGCAAGATGGGTGTGGGTGTGTATGAAAATAACGACAGGACAAGACCCACACTCAACAAACATATGCCACTCTACAGCTACATCCACCCACACCCATACGTACACTCTTCATACCTGATTTCACTGATGTCTTCTTTGCTGATGTCGATGGAAATAATGTACTTGGTTGATCAACAATCGAAAGAGGTTTTTGTTCATTTGGTTTTGAAGATGGTGGCTTCACTAGTGCATTAGGTGGTGTAATTTCTCTCAGTTGAATAATATGAAGTTCAGGTGCTGGATTTAATTGACCCATGACTTCAAAATATGAATCTGGCATAAGAATAATTTCTTTTTCAGTATTCTTGAAATATGAATGTGTGGCAACAGATTTTCCATTAATGCATTCAATTGAAAAGAGAGTACGTTTTCCATGTTTCCCCAAAACTTGATCTGCTTCAAGTACTTCAATATCAATAGTACACGAACTTACTCCCCACCAAGCAAATTTAGTGCCTTTTTTGTATTTTGAACTTAAATCAACATCTCGAATACCACGCCATACTGTTTCACTTCGTGATGGTAATTTATGCAAAGCCGTGAGAAATAGTTTAAGATATGAGAACCATGGTTGTAATTCTTCACGATTCTCAGCACGTAATGATTTATTAAGTAACAAGTACAAACTTGGTCCGCCTCTAAATTGCATTGTATATAGATGTATAGAAGCTGATTCTTGTTGGTCTAATCCATCAGCTGGATTTTGACAATTATGCAATGCAACAGAGACATTGTCTTCAATTTTATTAAAAAATCCGGCAACTGGTTCAATAGCTTTTGGAAGTGAAACAACTGGTTTATCTTGATAGCCTTTTATTGGTGATAAAAGATGATCTACAGGTTCATTGTAAAGATCAGTGAAGCGAGACTCATCACCAGACTGTATTGCTTCGGCCATGTGATATCTTTCAACCCACAACGAAGAAAAACTAAATATCAAAAATCTAAAAAAAGAAATGATTGAGTCACTCTTGTTTTTACTTTCATCTTAAATAATACAGAAATATCATGAAGAATATGCAAAAAAAAGAAAAATAAGAATACAGTTGAATATATTAGTTTACGCAGTGTATTCCTGCATGAAAAATGTCTCATAAAATTCAAAACATGGAAAAAATAATAGTATTTTGATTGAACTAAAAAAGATTTTTTCTTTTTGATGTCAAAAAAACATGAATGACAAATATGATAGATTTTCTGCTACATCATTATCAGAAGCTATATTCAGATAATATTAAAATAAAAATTATAGTTTCTATAGTAAAAAACCGAAAATGAAAAGAATGCACCAAGAATAAACAATAGGTTGCATACAGAGTGTGGGTGTGGGTATGGATATGAGTAGAGAGAAAAGCTACATCCATAGCCACACCCGCACATCCACACTCAAGAAGAGTTTTGCTTCACACATTATGAGGATGGATGTCGGTTTGGGTGGATGTTGGTATGGGTGGGCAAGTGCAGTTTGTTTTTTCGGCCTTACTCACACCCACATCCTTACCCAAAAGTTTCACTCGTGGTTAACAATCCACTTATTCTTCTCCAGAGGTAAACTTTTGAAGCATGAAAACATCGTCTTCAGTCCCTATTTTATGAAATTACCAGTCGCCTTATTTCGATACTTCGATCTCAATGTGCAAAATCACGAAAAGATCATAAATAGAATGAGACACAAACGTAGAAAGTTAATCATCTAAAATGTAGACAAAGTTTCACAAGAAAGAACTAATTAATCAATAAAACTGCAACGCATACAGGTATATACACTCGATAGACTTCTGACTGAGAAGAAATCATCAATCGATTAGATAAACGGAAATCCATGATGAATATTCATTTAATTTTTGTCTTGATTTTTTGTAATTAATGTTCTAGTCATACAACCGTTATATTTATGACGTTTAAAAAAATCGAAGGTCTGCTTAGAAGCCATGATCGTAAGTTGCTTACCGGAATGCAATAATCAAAATAAAAAATTTTTTTTTATTAAAATTTCAATAACAACAACTTCCAAGTTGGTTGAATTTTGTTTATGTGAGGCGCGTCGTTTGTTTGTCGAAGGACACTTGTGTCACTTGTACAACACAAAAAGGCTTTACTGATTTTTCTTTTTTCTCTCCTTTTTCGTTTTTTTTTAAATTTTTGTTAATTAAGTGCTTTCCTGAGCAGTGTTGCTCATGACAACAATAAAATACACAATATGGAGAACAGAAAAACAGTAATGGCAAGTAAACAAAAAAAAATTTTTTAAACGAAATACAGTTCAAATGGATCACAATCATCGATCCTCTTTTGTATATGATGTGGAGCTGTTAGCATCGTTGAACAACAATTAATGATAAATAATGATAGACTTCCTTCAGTATCTGGTAAAGAGACATTGTACATCATCAAAGTTTTTGTATCTAGGAATAATCAAATAGTCATATAGTATTATTTATTAGATTAGGATCATACAAATGAACTAATATCAACTATTCATCACAATTCAACTCTAGTAATAACAAATAGTGAATTAGTTGAATAATTATGGATATAACAATAGCTATTAATCATTGTGTTAGACTTCGACATCAACATCATTTAATGATATGCCATGCGAGAATTCTAAATGATCTTAGAAAAATTTAAGAAATTCGTTAAAACTAATATTTTATCAATGAGTTATAGATTTCTTTTTCTTAATTTAAAATGATTTATTCAATTAATTCTTTTATTCTTCTCAATTATTTATTAATAATGTGATTAAATATATGTCAATAGTATGTATGTTGAACTTTAGCATTGAGATCTAAATTGTTAGAAAAGTATCACTAAATCTATGGATACTCATGTCTCAATTTGACGATATGTTTTATAGTTATTCAATACGAATTTCAGATATCATTCTTTTATCGCTTTGATAAAATCAAAACAATACTTTTTTGTTTATCATCGAGAGGCATGTCTAATTAAAATTGAATCATTATGAAGCAGAACTTGAATTAAACTATGAATTTGAATATCTTTATTTTTCACTGGTACAACATTAGTTTATGTTTTATGAATTGAGTAATAGGAAGTCGAGAAAGTTTCTAGTGTTGTTGTGACAAAAACAACTTATTGCAATATCTGAATGAACACTTAGTCACATATTGAATAAATAATGAACTTTCCTAGTGCTAATTTATCATTAAAAATCTAGCGTTAACAATTTGACTCGTTGAAACATATTTACTTCCATTTTATAAATTTTAGTTTGAAAAATTCCATATGGCAGCAACATTTTTGAAAACTAATTAATACATTTCTGTAAACAATCTCTCTTTACAGTTTTTCTGAAGATGCATAGTTTTATCAAAAAACTGGATTTACTTTTTCGTTAGCATAACATGAAAATTTTCCCATAGACGTTGTTTATACTGTACCGGCGATCTTGAATTTTTTCTGATATACTTAGACAAATGATCAATCATTATTAATTATAATTAGGCATCAATTCAAAGAAGTAACATTTCTACGTATGCCTAGAGTAAAAGAACTTTTTTTTGTGTACTCAAAAAAAAGTGAGTACACTCTAGAATCGGTCAGTGTGTCCGGCCGTTTACATGATAACTTTTGAAAGGAGAGTGTGATCTTGATGAAATTTTCTACACAGTATCGTCTCATCAATGTCTCAGCCGAGTTCGAAGATGAGAATGATTCGTGGAGTCATTGCTGAGTTATCGCAAAAAAGTCATTTTGCCCTGTGCTTTTCTAATGCGATTGTCCTATTTTTGAAAAACAAATTTTTTTTTCGAAAATAAGGCTTAAGAACTCTTTGAGCTCCCGACTCCAGAGAATTTGGACACTGCTGGTTACTTTTTGAAGTACACATAACACTCGGATTTAAATCCGAGGTTTCCACATTTATTTCTTTATACTTTTGGATCACATGGAGGGTGTTAAGTCTTTCGTTGATCTTATTAATGTATGTTTTTTTTTCTATTATTGTTTTAGTTTATAACGTGTCTATGTAAGTACAATTTATTTCATACGAATGTTTTTTATTTTATTTTAGGTACTCAATAGTGAAGTGAAAGAGATAACCGGGGAAAGTAATGTTATTCTTGTTCAATATATTTCACATAAAATTAGTGTCGTTCCATTTTTCTTTTAGTCGTCAACAATATCGTGCAACAGTGATCAGTGAGTAATTATTTCTTTTTTTTTTTCTTTTGAGATGAGAATAGAGAGAGATAAGTGAGATTATGAGGGTTAGGGGGAATCTTAGATGAGTGAGTGTTAGTGAGAGGGGGAGGGTAAGTTAGTTACGTTGAGGTTAGGTTCGTCTTATAAGAAGGACTACTGGGTAATCCTCAAAAGCCCAGCTAGGAACTACTCTGATGTCCATGGCACACGATCGGGCCCGGGGCTCACTGATGCATGTCATCAGATTGATGTATATGGATGGTGTGAGTCTTCTCGCGCGCGCGCGCGTGTAAGAGAATAGAATAGCTTGCAATACATTTTTTCATTCAATCGCGATTTATTTGAAAGAGAAAAAAGAACGAAACAAAAAAATTAATCATTCCAATTGAGTTTATGCAATAGTAAATTTTTGTACTCGATCATTGCATTGATCGACGACATAGAGATTACCACGTCGATCGAATGACAGACCTATGGGCAAGTTGAGTTGAATTGACTGTGCTCCTTCACCGTTTCTACCAACAATGGCACTTCCTTATGTGGCTTCTTTTCGCTAACGCATGATTCGATGATTCCAAGAATCAGTCACGTAGACCGTACCCAATTGATCGACAACTACTCCTTGAGGATAACTCATTTGTGTAAAACTATTTCCATATCCTTGTGCCACCGGCTACGACAATGCCTTGTTTTGCACCTTCTTCCCATTTCATGACACGATGATTGGAACAATCACACACATAAAGTGAATGATCTCGATCGACAAATACATAGTGGAGTTGAAAGAGCTGATCGAGACGATTTCCTTTTCCATTGCCACCTGCAACTACTGTTCCTTGAGTATCACCAATTTTATATCGTCTCACTTCATGTTTATCATCGTCAACCACATAGAGAGAACCATTGTCGTCCATTGTCAAACCGAAGCAACAGATATTTGAAATCATTGTTTCTCCATAAGTACCATTTCGAAGAGGCCAACGAACTACTCTTTTATTCCTGCCATCGCTGATGATGAAACTATCGCTCTCTTTGTCGATAATCACATCTGTTGGGTGATTTAATTGATGAGCCTCATTTCCTTCTCCATTTCCACCAGCAACCACTTTTCCATTCGTTGCACCAGATTTCCATTTCACAATACGTTGATTTGAAGTATCGACGACATGAATCGTTTGATTATCATCCACATACAAACGCCATGGGTGATTGAGTTGATTGGTTCCACTACCTCGTTCATTTCCTCGAATAACAGCGATACCATTCTTTGACCACGTTGCATTCGGATGAATATCAACCATACTTGCACGTAATGGTACTAAAATGGAACAAAAGTATGAAGTAAACATAAACATGGATTTCATTGAAAATGAATTCTTCATTTTGCTAAAAAATTCATGAGATATTTGTAATTTAATTGATAGGATCAGAAAAGATAAATAAAACATTTCTCAGAGGGAACTTATAACTTCATCAAATTTTAAATGAAACTTTCTTTTATATCGAATTCTAATGTTTCATCGATTGTGATAGCTGAAACCTTAAAATTTTACTAGAGCTTAGAATGAAAATGATTGGGAGATCAGTATATGAAAAGATTAGTTTGATTTAAGTGTAAAAAAATTCAAAAACTATTATAAAAATATCTGCCATTGAAAGTTTTTCATCAGATGATTTGTTTTTTGTTGAAAAATTATGGAGAAAAACTTTTTCTCAGAAGATGTGGGTTTTTATTTTATTATTCCAGCTATATCAATCGTTTAGTTTCTATTATATTACATATACAAATGAACATCCCGTTATCGAATTCATGATATTCAATGAAAGTCACAGTTGAAAACCGAGTTTTTTTTTCTCATAAGAATGTCATTAGTGTGACGTAAATGGCATTAGATGGTCTACAATCACCATTGAATCGATTTGTTTTCACAAAAGTCAAATCGCGATCGTTGTAAAAAGTTATCTAGCTCAATTTTTCACTGAGAATAAAAAAAATATTGTTGTTTTATACAACAAATCGAGGTTCTTTTTTTTCTTGCAGGTCGATGTGCTCGAATTTAGAAATGTGGATTTGGATTTTTCGTATATTGAAACCAAAAAGTCAAATTCTATTCTAATCAAAATTTCAAATGTTTATTTTTAATAGAATAACTTTGGAAATCTAAAGAAAATTGAACATCGGAATTTGTGTACTGATCTAAAAGTAATTGTTGATAAAATATTTGATTTGTAATAAAGTTAGTGGTTACCAATCATGTTGACACTCTTTCACACTAATCTAAAACGTTATCGAAAACAAATTCAAGTTTTATTTTGTAGAACAAGTTGTGAACGTTTTGAACTTATTTAGTGTTATAGAAAAGTATCGAAGATCATTATACTTACCGAATACTTTTGGAAAACTCTCAGTCAAACATTCTTTTAGTCAAAAACAATATAAAGATTATTTTTTTATAAAGTTTAGAAAAAATAAATCAGTTGTCAATTATGAATTGTTTCGAAAATTTGCTAGTTGTAATAAAACTATATCCTAATTTTAAATAGCTTTATTATCTAAAAATAGGCATCACTATTTGAAAAGATTGAAGTAAAAGAAAGAACATATTCTATTGTGCAGCTGATAGAAAAATATATTTATTTATCTATGCTACTGAAATGGGAATGGTCTTCTTATCTCTATAATGTTGCATTTCAAGTTTTTCAACAGTAGCCGAGAAAAAGTAAATTAACCTAAAATAGGCTCATATCTATTCAAAAACTATAAAGAACTGCTACCGTGACCTATTTAGATTATTTAGAAGATAAACTGATATTAATTAAAAACTAGACGAGTTGAAATCAAGCAATTAAAATTCAAATAAGCGAATATAATTCGTTTAAAATAAATTCAAAGCAAAAAAATTATTGATTATTACAAAGTGTAGTGTATACAGTTCTTTAATTAAATCACAGTATCACACTTCCAAAGACTTATTCTTCAGCAGAATTTTAACAATCATTAATATTACGTTCTTTTTACTTAAATTTTTATTCTATTTCATTCGTAGCATAAAAGAACTGCTTAGAACTTTTCGAAATGATTTATATTCATTGTATTTGAAGGATTAGATCAGAAATCAGATTTTTATTTTCATAATTTAGATGATGTATAAGTGTATCTAAAAAAATTGTATATAAACAGAGTTTCCTTTTTGTTTACATCGAATGGAATTTCTTATTATTTTGTAATTAGGTTTGAAAAGGATTTCCGTCTATTATCAATATTTCAAACAATTAGATAAATAAAATTCGTTTTAATGGATAAATTATTTATTTAGGTTCGTCTCTTCCACATTGACTCCGTAATGAAATATGTAGAGTAAAGTGGGGTAATTGCAAACGAAAAATCGCTCTTTTCACTTCTATCTATCATAACTCAGTCATTTTTTGGAATTTTTTTCTACTTTTTTTTTAGTTGTATAGNAACAAAGCCAACTTATTTTCAAATATATCGCTATCTTTTTTTCTATTCTAACTCAACGCTGCAGTGATGAGGTAATCAATGATCTCTGTACAGTACAGAAAACAGGCTGAATACAGAAATACAAATTCTGTAGAATTCAATTATTTTGTTGTACAAAAGATAAAAATAGTAATAAATGCTAAATTTCATCTACGAGAGAGAGAATGATTTACATTGTTTTAAATCACACAAACTCATTTTAAATCGCCAAACTCATTTTAAATCGCAAACTCACAACTCGTCGTTTTCCCCTTGGACAAACCTCAAGCCAGTCGTGATGTTGGATAATTTTTCCTAAAATTGATTTCAATCGATAGCTAAAAAAGCTACTTATAATAAAAAAAATAGCTTGAAATGTCAACACACATAATTGATATTGTAAAACAAGAAGACAATAATCGAATTGATTGAATCAAAGTTTGTCAAATTATGGTTCCAAATGATTCGAAAGCAGCGATCACTACTCGTAAATGATTCGATGAAGTTGTTGCACTTGTACAACAAACTGAAGTATTCATCGCATCATAACAGCTTCCGATTCTTTTGTATCATATATGTTTATACATGTCAAGTTCATACAAAGTTGTTTTTCGAAATTGCACGTAAAATGAAAGTCAACTTTTTCTTTGAACCTGTCTCATTCATTGATCAGTTGACTTTCTTATTCGAACCTGCATTTGAGCACAATTCAGTAAAGTTTTATGAATGCATAGGGCAAATAAGATTTTGATCAAGATGAAATTACTTATATTATTCAGCATATTAAACAGAACGATAAAGTAAAAATTAATCTGAAATCGTATTCTTTTTCATAAATATTGTTGATCATTGATACAAGTAGATAATATTGTATGCATTTATTTATCTTTTCGTTATTCTAAAATAAAATTTTCTACCAATACAACACACTGATTTATATTTTTGATTTTCTAAATGTATATATCGTTTTTTATATTGTAATAAGCAACCGATTGAAACGCACGGAATGTATAAGGTGACTGGACAAGATGCGAGTGCAAAAAATTCCAACAAGGATAAGAATTTGACATATAAACAAAAACAAAACAAACGTGACAATATCAAATAATACACAGACATTTAGACTGTGAGTATCACTGATCAAAACAACTATATGTCCACATTTAAACAAAATTCGTTGAATAAAAAAAAACACAATTGTTGTTAATGATAATTTTTGATAAAAGAATTTATTGATGTTAGATTTCCACCGCGACGTTTGAGATTCTCTAATAATTGATTAGCTGTAGCACTAAATCGTTGTGGACATGATGAATCTAAAATCATTGAAATTATTTATAAAATTAAACAAATAGATAATCATAAGCAATAATATGTTATATGCAAGTGAATGAATAGAACCCACAGACATGCCAATAAGAAAATCATTTTACTTTATTTGATCATTAGTATCTAACATGATTTATCCGAGGAGGAAACAACAGAGACTTCAGATTTTGTATGTAAGGTGTTGTCTAGTGGCATATTGATTAGCCCGATATATTTCCTACAACTAATACTAGCTGCAGCTCTGGGCAGAAGGTCGGTCTAACACGAAGTTCTTGCACTCATTAGCTTGAGCTTCCCATTCATACTAACTAACTAAATACTGGCTGCGAGAGCAGATTAATATCACGACATAGTCAGTATGATGTTGGATAGATGAGCTGAGATAAACAATCTTTAGTAATTTGTCGAGAATCACTTCATGACTGGTGATACTGAAGTTCGAACAATGTAACCACTCAGCCATGATAATCCATGAAGTCTCTAAAAACTCTTGAAGCACGGTGAGGTTCGTTGAAGTCTGCTGTTTTCCCCTTGGATTTAACTTAACATAAAGAAAAAGACAAGTTTTATGAACAATCGATTATTAAACTTAACTTTTTCTATTCATTAGTTCATGCTATTCAAATTTGTTTTTTTTTTGAAAACTTTATGAATAATCCTAAGAAATATTTTCTACTACGACAATTTTATATTTAACGAGAAACACAACGACAATAACTAAAACACATATATATCCATGCATAAAAAAATCGATTATTTATTTTCTGACATTGATCAATTCATGCAATTTATATAGATATAGAGAGAGAAAGAGACAGATATATATATATATATATGTACAAACAACCCCGTAAAGAATTAGATAAATCCCATGATGTACACACAAGTCTCTTACAGAATGAATATTGAATGGAGTTCAATAACGATGATGATGAATAGCTGAAAAAATGATTTAATCTACTCTTTTATTTCAATAATATAACTTACTATTTGTTTGAATTCCATTTGTTGTAATACAATTATTATAAAATGTTGTTGATGGTGGTAATCCATTAGAATTACATTCAAGTCCTATTGGATTTTCGTAACGACGAGCTTTTGATGCTGCTGCACGTTGAGCAATGACAGAAGAAAAATTAATATCTAATCGAGGATCAACTACTGATGTTTTTTGTATAGATGCTGCAGTTATTGTTGTTGTTGACGAACGACGAAGAGTACTCGGTGATGGTGGAGGAGGAAATCCATTTGAAGGAGTTTTGTCTTCGATTATAATATTTTTTAATTCAGGTGGGTTATATAAGCTCGGTGAACGATAATTATTTGAATTAGCTACAACGAAAACAAGCGGAAATATTTTCATATGAGATAATGAGGTATGTTTAGATTTGCATAGAACGAATTGAAAATACACTTTTTTTTAAATGAAATTTCATTATTGAATGAATGTGTTACAGTACACAACAACGTGAATATTAGGTGAAAAAATGA